ACATATTATTGGACTTGTCATTGTGGCCTAGGCTTATACTTTGGGCACAGGTTCATATCTCACTACTCCTGGTGGAATTTTAAATTTAATTAATAATTTCAATTCCTAACACATCCAAAATTGAAAGATTTGATTCTGTCATTTTTACCATGAAAAAGTCATTGTTCTAACACTTACCTGGTTCATTTAACCTTTCTTTTGAGGGAAGAAAATATGCCAACCTTACCCAGTTTGGCCTACATGTGTTTCCAGATCCATGGCTGATCTTAGCAAGCCACTTGATTGCTCCAACTAGGGATGGGCAACAAATGCTGGCTTTGCCAATTATACCAAGATACAAAAACAAAACTTAGAAATTGAAGTTTCTTTGCTTCCCATTTTGCTGAATAAATGTATTAAGAATGAGAAATATTATTTTATTTTGCTGATGCCTCGTCTCTCAATGCCACCATTGTTTGTTTGCTGTTTATGTCCGGCCATTGTAAAATTCATGGACTTCATGCAACTCGGAATAAACCACTTGTGGTTCTAAAGTCCGTTTGTTTCCAAGTATAAACCAATTTGCATTTGAGTCATTAATATTATTTGTTCCTTACGGAGGTACAAATTACTGCCAGTGATTCCAGATAAATAGGTTGAATTTTCCCTTTTGAATGGTTACTGATGGTGTACCTGGACATTAAGAGGTCCAGCAGTGCCAGAAGACAGCTCATACCCTCCTCCTAAAGGACAGTTAGGGATGGATACTAAAAGGTGATCTAGACACCAATGTGAAAGAGCAGATATTTAATTCAACTTCAGTTTATGAGCAAGTTGCATCTTATTTGATGTATACTGGTTGTATCAGCACTTAGCTTCAATCATGTGAAAAATGAAGCTAAAATACTCATTATTGAAGATCTTGCATTGCGTAAATCAACTAAAGAATGTAACAAAGTCGTCTCTCATCTCCTTTTCAAGGAAGGTCTGTCAAAAGTACAGTTAGGATTGTAGTTCTGAAGTTTTGAAGAACAGTCATACTGGACTTAAAATGTTAACTGTTTCTCTCTCCACCTCTTGCCTGTCAGATCTGCTGAGTTTCTCCAACACTCCGTTTTTATTTCAGATTTTAAGCATCCCCAGCATTTTTGCTTTTTACAGGTTTATAACTTTAGTTTTCCCCTCCATGGTCTGCATTGGATCTAGTCTTTCACCTGATAGTTGATAGGTCTGTTACAAGCCTTTCTGGATTTCATTAGAGTTGGATTGCTTTGAACTTCTAGTTATGAGCAATTTTTTATAAAACTTAATTGAGAGATATTGAGAAGGGATATGTTGTGTGCATGTGGGATCCTATTTCATCGAGTGAAAGAGAGGACTGTATTTGATTTATCATTCACTACCTTGAAACATTTTTAAGTACTTCGGTACTATTCTGGAGGCATGATATAAAAATGATTTCTTTATTGGTTTAAATGTAATGATTGAGTCTGATGTGCTTTTGTTTTGTTTTGGAATGCTGCAGTGCTGATCAATTTCAAAAGAAAGCAGCAGGTTATCAGGATTGATGAATATTCCAACTTTGGAGCTACTATATGAATTTTGCAACTGAAAGTTTATTGAAAGAAAAACTGTCTCTTCTAACCAGTGTTCCAAAACTGACTGACTCTTTTAAACAATGCTATTGTATTGGGTGATTTTAACTTCTGGTATTGACTGGGACGAGTTCTTTAGTGCCAGTAGTCAAATAACATGCTTAACAAGTAAAACCCGTAACTGTATAACTTGATGATGATCTCCAGTAATTAATAGGTTTATTGCATGTTTATACTGTTAATTAATTTGCATATTTTCCACTTTTGTCCTTTCCTGCAGTAACCTTGTGTAATTTTCTCTTATTGCCCTCTGCCTCAAACTGCTGACTCCACCATTTCCAAATTCACTAAAGTCCTTTTAGGGAAGGAAACTGCCATCCTTACCTGGTCTGGCCTAAATGTGACTCCAGACTCTCAGCAATGTGGTTGATTCTGAACTGACCTCTGGGTGATAAAGGATGGACAATGAATGCTGCCTAGCCAACGGTGGTGTCATCCCATTAGTGAATAAAAGGAAATTGGATCTATACCATCAGTTGCCAAGCCCCACATTCTGGAGCTCGTTGTTTAAACCCCGCTACATCTCCACCTTCTCTCCTTCACAATCCGTGTTAGTACACATCTCTGCACATGCCTGTGGTCAGCTCCTATTATCTCTACTCTTGGTTCATGGTCAGTTTGTACCATCTACATCCTGACATCTACCAACTAGAAATGCCAGGGCAGCAGATGCATCAGATCACTAACACTTGCAAGCTCTGCTCAATCCTGATTTAGAGCTATATTTTTGTTCCTTCGCAGCTGCTGGAACAAAATCTGGGATCTCTATCAGCGCTGTGTGGGTTTACCCAAGCTAGAGGTTCAAGTAAACAGCTAACTATCACCTTCAAGGAGTATTAAGAATTTGCAATAAATACAGGCCTACCAGCAATGTCCACTTCCTGTGAATGAATGAAATAAGAACAGTTACAGTGATGTGTAGTGCTTTGGGATGTTTTTGCTACATAATTGATCATGGTATATAAATGTTGCTGATTGGAGCCAATTCTTCAGCTGGATTGCAGATGCTAGCACTGCTTTCTCAAGTAGCTTTGCTAACACATGACCATAAGAAATGGGCGTGCTTTGTCTTTGGAAGACTGTGTAAAATGGACATACAGTTCAGCTGCCTGTTGGATGTCATTCCCGATAAATGAAAATTGGGAGAGATGTGTCCTGGCTGACCGAGTAGCCCTGAATCAGTATTACCCCATATGGTTTAATGGGGGCATTGAATGTGATTGGCAAATTGGCACATCTTAATCCTGTCCTCATTTTTGGTTAATGCGTATACATTTGTGAGCAGAGTTTACTGGATTCCCTCTTTTGACCTTTCCATTTTGTGGCTAAATTGCTATGACAACTGTAGCACCCCAAATGCACCAGCAGCCGTAAAATAATTCAAGAATCAAAACTATGATCTTCTGGCCAGGATAAGTTTGTTTTTTTTATTAAATTCAGTATGATTTACAAAGATTGTCTTTTAACCTATTGTAATTACTCTGTCACAAGAAGAACTTGAACAGGAATACAATTTTATTTTTCTACATTGATGTTTGCCCAACCTTTTACACATGGCGACACATTTCAATTCTTCCAAAAATTACACTAGCATTATATTTGAGGGTACATGATAAACAGTTGCATTTCTTTTAATTTTACCAATGAAATACTTTTTCAGTATAACCATTGTTGTGATGTAGGTAACACAGCAACTAACATGTGGACACACAATCTCTCTCAAGCAGGTTATTTTGAGATGTTGAGATAATTATTGACCAGGGGTCTGAAGAGATCACCCAAGTTCTTCTTTTGAAATCATGGATAGTTTATCAAGTAATTATTCTTAAGAGATTAATGTTCAGGCTACATTGACTCTACAAGTTCTATTGATGTCACACAGCTGGGTACCATTCTATTCTACAGTTTTTGCAGGAGAGAAGATGTATCTGACTCGCTCCTTAAGGTCCTAGTAATGATCTTGACCACATGTAGTTGTACTTAATGCTGTCATGCAATAAAACTTTTGGATTGTTTAAGGGCACTGCTTCTTCTGGAGAGAATGCATGGCGGCGTATCTGCCTTTTAGTCACTAGACAGGCCGAAGACACTAGAGGAATGGTAGCAGCAAGCTGCCAGAAACAACCTTTTTCTCCATATCTTGCACTGTTAAGTGCAGGTGGCAAATACAACAATGCAATTGTTCACAATTGCCAGAAAGTACACTTTAAAAGGAAATCCAAAGAGCAACATTTTCAACATGTAGCACTCCTCCCCTGCTCCACTTGGAACATAAGCCTTGATTTTGCGTTTAAATTTCTGGAGTGGGAATTCTGTAACACCTTTTCTTAGCCAGCGTTCCTGAGGAAAAATTGTTTTGACGGCTGATTTTCCCAGTGAGTGTCTTAGGGACTCCCAATTACAGAATGATGCAGAACAGAAATAGGCCATTTGGCCCATTTGTGATTCTGCTAGCTGTATGAAGGAGCTCTCCAAAGTTTAACTATGTTCCATAGTTCCCTTGGCCCTGCATTTTTTTTTTTTTTTTTTTTGTTTTCCTCAAAGTTTTCTTTAGCCAATTCCCTTTTTAACAATTTATGGCTGTTGTCTGCACTTACCTGGTGATGGGCAATATCTTGAGCTTCATTTTTTTTTCTTGTTATTTCTGAGAAAGAAATCAGGGAGGTGTGTGTATGTATTTAATTGATACTTCACCATTTTTGAATCTTGGATAGGTGTCCTTATGAAGAAAGAATCATTCCTCATGTTGTACATACATTTTTTTTAAAAAAAAAAGCTTGCAATTGAATACTGAATTTCACAACTTCAGGCTGTCCCAAAGCACTTAACAGCCAACTATCTTTGTTGTAATGTAGTCATTATTGTATATGTTTCATTGTTGAATTAAAATTTATGATGTAACACCAGAAGAGACTATTAATGGTGAACACAGCAAACTCTGCCTGGAATAATGGGAATGGCTGTTCAAAATAACAATAGAGCATTTTTACATAAAAGCAAAACTATCATCTAGCATGATAAAACATTAGCAAAGATCAGACAAAATGATGCAGTCATGCCAGAGGGGAGCTTAATAATATAGTGATGGAGTAATGCAGAACTAGCTATATGCTCCACTCTCTGTATTAAGCAACCATTTGTTGAAGGTGCTGTGTCTGAATTGGTCAACATTATTCAAATCTTTTAGATTTTAAAATGTCTTTGGTGAAAGTTGCACTAGTTGCCATGTATTAGCTCCCAAATCTGGATGAACTTGTACATATTTATGGACCCAAGCAGATCCCGTTGCTTACTGTGTAGGAATCTGTGCATTGTTTGAATACAGCAGTTTGGAAATAATTTCATGCGTTTCTTTGTCTTTAACAGAAACCTACGTCAGTAAGTCCACAGACAATTGAGGAAATGGCTTATGCTCCTCTGCCGCAGGGCTGGCAGTGTTACATGTCTCCTCAGGGTCGGAAGTACTATGTCAATACTTACACAAATGGTAAGTCCCATTAAATGATGCATTAATCACCAAGAATGTTTAAGAAATAGGAAAACACTTGGACTGAACAGGTTCATCCTGTTTTCATTTGAGTTTGGCTTGGTCTAGGATATGATTCTCAATAAAGTGCTGCTCTGTGAAACGTGAAATAAGTAAAGGAATAGACCAAATGGCCCATTGAGGTTACTTCATCATTCAGTGTGGTGATGGCTGATCTTAGGCTTTAAATTCCACTTTTCCACCTGATCTCCCCCGTTGCTGGATTCCCTGAGAGAGCAAAAATCTTTGTCTCAGCCTTAAGTGTATTCTCTGGTGCACCTACAGCACTATGAAGGAAGGAATTCTAATTAAGATTGGTAATCCTCTGAGTGAAGAAATTTCTCTTCATGTCAGTGCTAAATGAGTGCTGAGATTGTGTGCCTACTTGTTCTAGACTCCCCAGTCAGGAGAAACAACTTTTGAATGCTAATGACAATTCCAGGCAATGTGCCTAGACCTCTCTCTCCTTTTTTTTTTAATTTTGTATTCTTCCATGTGATGCGGGCATTGCTGGCAAGGCCAGCCTTTGTTACCCATCCCTCGTTGCCTTTGAACTAAGTGGCTTGCTAAGCCAATTCAGTCGACCACATTGCTACGAGCCTGGAGTCATTGTGTGAGCCAGACCAGATAAGGATTGCAGGTTTCCATCCCTAAAGGGTATTATTGAACCATTTGGATTTTAAGGCAGTAGACAATGGCTATGCGGTTGCCATAAGACTTTTAATTCCAGACTTTATTGACTTTAAATTTTGTCATGGTGGATTCAAACCCATGTCCCTAGACCATTAGCTTTGTTCTCTGTTTAAAGCTTTAGCTAAAGTTTGTAGCTCGGGTTGTGGGTGAAGTTGTTGACTTGCTCGCTGAGCTGGCTTGTTTTCGTTCAGACGTTTGGTCTCTGTATTTCAGTGACATTGCCACTATACTAACACCTGCTGTGTAAGCCATACCAAGGCAAAAGTTTTCCTTTGTCAAAGGTTTGCCAATCTTAACTGGAATTCCTTCATTCAGATTGCTGTAGGTGCACTAGAGAATATATTTAAGGCTGTGACAAAGACTTTTGGCGGGGTAGCGGTTGTTTTCATGGGATGATTTTCATTTTCCTTTCCATCAAGTGAATTTCTGAAACTTTTCAAATCCCCATACCCTAATATTTTTCATAGTTGTGCCTGTCCTCAAAAATGATTATGACCAAAGCTTGCCTGACTTAAAGCTGAAACTCTGCAGAAAGGCTCTACATCCAATTCCAGGACAAGCCCTTGATTTCCAGAGTATCTCTTTTTTTTTTATTCAAGTAGTTATTACATTTGCCTGATGTGCAAAAGTCACCTGTTCTGAACTGGCCAGAGAAATTGAATTCTTTACCTGAGACAGCAGTGGAGACTGTTATTGAACATGTTCAGAAATGAGTTAGACTTTTGTTTCTCAATGGTTTCGAGTAATGGTACGCTGGCAGGAAGGTGGAATAGACACCACAGTTAGATCTTTCATGACCTGACTGAATGGAAGAGCAGGTTTGAGAGCCAAATGGGAGGGCTTCTGCTCCCATTTCTTATGTTCTAATGTAATTCTGTATTGTTGAATAAACACTACTAATTAGCTCTCCAATCCACTTGTACTATTCACTAAAGTGTCTTTCTTAGAATTTGTTTGAAAATCCTATTTTTTTGTGTTAAAAGGAATGTTTCACTTGCCACCTTGCTTCCACAGTTTGTGACTATAATGCTTTTTGCTTAAAGATTCTTTATCAGAATCATTGCACAGTAAAGAAACCCCATACAATACTCAGTAAATGTTCACTCTTTGATTGGCAAAGAGCCAGTCTAGTAATGAGCACTAGCTCAAAAAAAAATCCTCCGACACCCAGCTTGTGTGAGAATGTCCATTTGGGTTGTTTTCTTCAAATTAATGTACCAGCCCCACCAAATGAAAGTTTTTTTTTTATTTAATTGAATCCATCTGGTGGCAGTCATTGGAGCTGTCAAATTGCAGAATGTAGAAAATTTGAATATGTTCATTCTCGTCTTTGCTTTTCCTTTTTCATGGAATGATTTCAACCGCATTGATTTTGATTATTTGATTTGTCTTTTTAAAAGTCTTTATTTTAGAACTTTCCATTATTCTCTTGTCTTTTTAATTCCTGCTTATGCAGCAAGAATAGGGTGTTCAATTGGGCATCATAGGAAATTTACTCCAGGAACTACAGCAAGTTTGAATAATTAATTTTGTGAACCACTTTCGGGGCACTGCTGGATGGGCTGTGAGAAACTGTGCTTCACCAACGATAAAATATTTAGCATGCCAGCATCCTGAAATGTGATTTCTTATGTGTGATTTTAACTCTGGCTGTATAGCTCTTGAGCCAAATGGCGACAAATCTTGGTGCTGTAAGATGTTGTGATCTAATGAAATGTGATGTCAGCATAATTGTTTTTGTTGAGTGGTTTCAATGCTCTCCTGAGATCACTTACCTGACGCTTGCTTCAAACGATTGTGAGAGGTGTACTAACACTGGTTGGATTTGATGCTTTATCTGGCCTTCTTCCTGGCTGAGCTTCTTGAAAGAGAAAAGTTATCTCACTCTAATTCAATCAGTGGAAATACTTAGCCCTTAGCTTGTTAAGGCACATTGGAATCTCTTGGGCTCTTGTGATTGGAATGAGGTCAGCCAGGTGGACCACATAGAATGAGTTCTCACTCTAGGAGCCAGCTCTGTGCTAGCTGGGTCAGTGTCGTGTACTATGTACATTAAATAAAGGGTGATGGGATAACAGCCTTCGAGGAGTTATTTCAATTCCATTCTTTTGGATCACTTCTAAAAGGTTATTGTACAATATTACAAGATGTACCTACCTTTTTACACAGCATACAGGCAGGGCATGTGAAGATCATTCACTTACTGTTTGCACTTTAATACTTGACATTGACCTGCCATTTAGCGAGATGATCAACATATCAACAATTCTTAAAAATCTATTTTGCTACTAAGATCACAATTATTTTCTCAAACGACTAGTTTTATTCTCCAGCGGTGTTTTTGTCTGGTGCATAATTGAGTGCTGATTTCTACATTCCTTTATTGTTCTTGCACTTGGCTCTGGATCCTGGCTTCTATTCAGTTTCAGATGACAATGCATTAAAAGGCCTTTGTTTCTTTGAATTGCATCATTTGTTAGGTGCAGCCAGCTGTTAATGGTACGGCTGGTACTTCCTCGTCTTGTACCACCATCACCTCTGGAGTTCAGGGCCTGCACAGTTCTGGCTGTTTGCTGTAAAGAGGCTGGCGATTTTTATTTTGTTTGCTCTTTTGTTCTGTTCCAAACACTGCCAGCCTGTACTCCCAGTGATTTGTAATTCTTTGAGAAAGCTGTCCCTTCTCCATTTTCCCTTCTGGTTGATTTGTAATCCTTTACAATAACATTGCATTCAGTGGAGTGATCAGCTGTGCAGGAGGGACCCAGCGGAGAAATTCGAGCAGGAAACGTTGTAGGTTCCTGTAGAATGGCATGCTGTGCTGAGGAAAATGTCCAAATTTCATTTCTTGGAAAATACTCTGCCATGTGTTACCACAAAGATAGTGCACTATCTTTTTGAGTATTGTGCGATTAATTCTAATCTGGATATAAAATGATTCCTCAAGCTCGGTTTTCTCCAACACCAGTGAGGTGCTGTTTTCTCAATCGGTTATAGGTTGTGGGGAAATACGATGGTATGCTTTACATTTGCAGAGCTGCTTCTGATTGAACTAGTTCCACAATCTGATGGCATTCCTGATTTTGTCTTGTGTACATTGTAAGCTTGTATTGAGGCAGCAGCCTTGCTGAAATGGCTATGCGAGGTTAATTCTTAAAGTTGCAACTTTTAATTTGTATTCATGCTTTGGAAGCAAATCCCTGTAAGCTAGTAAATTGAAAAGAAAATATGTTGAATATCTATACAGACAGGCACTGAAGCTCAGATAGGTAAAACAACCTATGAATGCAAGGAGGTAAAACCATCTCAAGGCAATATTCTGGGCTTCATAAGGCATGTGCACTTTCCCATCGTTCTTCAGTGGTAAGTGGGCATTGCTTGTAAAGCCATTTTGTTGCCTTTCCCTAGTTGCACTTGACCTGTGTGGCTGGGGAAAGAACAGTTAAGCATCTGCCACACTGCTCTGAATAATGTCTATGGCATTTCCATTCCTGAAAGACCAATCAGATGTCATCATTTGATGATGGAGAATAAATGGATAATAGCCTCCAGTTCTGTACTTTATTCATGGCAGCTGGTGCAACTTAAATTCTATGGTGGGCATTAAACATGCACTTGCATTTGCATTGTCCATAGATGTGAACCTGGGAAAGCACAGCAGGTCCGATAGCACCTGAGGAGCAGGAAAAGCAACATTTTTGGGCTGATACTCTTCTACGGAACTGAAGGGTTTCAGCCCAAAACATTGACTTTCCTGCTCCTCGGGTGCTGTCTGACCTGCTGTGCTTTTCCAGCTTCACATCTATTGACACTGACACTGGTTTCCAGCTTCTGCAGTCCTGGTCTCCATGCACGTAAAACAGTATTAGCGTGAGCCTTGACATTATGATATCAATGTCATTACCATTTTGTCACTGCCTTTCCCCAAATCCTCCTTTTGTCACAACTTAGCCCTGGTAGTGACAAGATGAAGGAAATAAAGCCTGAAGCACCATAAATCAAGTTTCATGCTCCCTCTCTTTTGCCTTGGGGATGGACACCAATGGAGGAAGAGGTGAGTGAACAGTTGAATATCATTTTTTTCCTGACTGATCTCCACCCACTTGGTTACTCGTTTTCTGTGGAATCTGGAAATGGGGTTGAAACACTTGACAAAGCAGATAGAAGTTTCATGTGGATGTTGCAATGTCAGAAGTCTCCTGGTGTTGGACTGGAGCTGGATATGGTAAATTTGACGTGATTTTGAAAGGTTCCTCCTGCAAGGCAGCATA